AATAAAGAATTTAGCAATTTGTTATTTCTTGTTATTGCTGGATTATCAGATACATCATCCAATATAACTAATATATTAAATAACTTCTTCATTCCTTGTTTTTTCTGGTATTCAATTATTTTATTTTGAGTTTCTATAACTCTTTCTAAATCTTCAACATTGAACTCATCCCACAAACACGGTTCTTTATCAGTATCTACTTTCAAACCTTCTTTAATGTACTTTTTAATAGGCAACCAAATGCTATCCAAATTTACTGATGGGGACCAGATAAAAATTCTTTCAAATGATCCTCTGTAAATATCAAGTATCATTGATACAAGTAAAGTTCATTTTCCAGAACCAGAAGGGCCTACAATCATAGCTCTCATAGGCAATTTAGGGACGACCTCATGCTTACTTTGCTTAAAGTCATATTTGATTTCATCAATTGGTTTTACATCAGGCATAATAAAATAATATTATAAATACTTATAAAATAAAATATATAATATAATTATATCATAATGACAATAGAATATATAGAGTCTATTAATTTAAGTGAAGTAGATAGTATTCGGAGGATATATAAATTTGGTGATATTCTAGTTCCAGACACTGGCCAACTATATTATGATACGATTTTATTGTTTTTATCGATAATTAAAAAAGACAATATTATAATATCTAAATCATCAATCGAAAACGAGGATAGCCTAAATTATAATAAATTAGTAAATTTTATGAAAGATTATTCTAATACATATACAAATGAAATGATAAATAGTGTACAAGAAATCATTAATAATAATATTATAGATGTTGATATATCAACTGCAGTAAAACTTACTAAAGAAAATAGTTTAAATACATATTCTATTTAATATTAAATGGAACATCTTTTTTATGATATGCTGGTAGTGAATATCGTAAAAACGGAACAGGTTCCCATTGCTTCAATCAGTAAGCATTGAAGCTAATTAGTTTGAATTAGTTTGAACCTCGCTTGCGTTGTCCGGCGCAATGAAAACTCCAAGTGCTGTGCCCCCATCAATATTCTATTATGCATGAAATAATAAGATTAAATAATTATTTCATCTTATTATTTATATGAATAGGAGTTATACAGATTATATTGATATAATAAATGAAGTACAACATATAGAAGATGTTGTTATAACCGATAATAGATTTAAGAAAGTATGCTATTTTGTTTTAGAATTAATTAAGTTTGTGATACAATATATTAAAAATATAAATATTAATATAGATGGGAAGGAAAAAACTCAAAAAGAATAAGACAGAACCAGCTGTATCTTCAACAGATGAAGATAAAGAAGAAATTGTTAAAGAAGCATCAGTTATTGAGTTTGCTTGTCCTATGTGTAAAAAGATGTTAGAAATGAAAAATGAATTAGAAATACAAAAGAAAGGAAATTGTAAATGTTCATGTATTCCAACAAGTTTCAAATTGAGTAAACAAGATAAAAGGATGAATATTGATAAAACTAAAGACAGTATCAACTTAGAAACTGATGTCCATAATATAACTTTTAAATTTGGTAGGCAAGCAACACCATCCGATAATAATGACAACGAAACACAGGAAACTATTAAACAAATGATGAAAAATTAGCATTTAAGGAGTAGATTTAACATAATTGCACTTTAAAAATATATAAATAAATAAATAAATATCTAAATATTTATATAATCATAATGCCAACTATGAATCGAGAAGACTATAGAATTATAACTTTCGACGATGGAGAAATTAAAGACATATTCAATGGTGATGAAAACTTTGCCAAACAATTGAGCGAAGAATACTTTTATTGGTTTGATGCTAAATTCAGTGAAAAATATTTTATGAAAGGTATAACTAAACCGGAAAAATTTGATAAAATATTAAAGTTTTTTGAAATTACAGGTGACGAGGAAGGTTTAATACAAATGAAAAATAAAATTGATGAAAGACTTTTAGAATATAATTTATTTACATACATAAAATTATATTATTCAGGTAAATTGTATAATAAAACGCATAAATAAATAAATAAATAATTATATAAATATTTATATATAGAAATGTCAGAAAATGGGGATTCTACAATTAACGATTTAATGAAAAAGATTATAATTATTAGTAAGAATATTAAAACATTAACTGAACTTATTAAGAATATTGATGAAAAAATAAACCAACCTAAAAGCAATAACGAAGACGATAAGGAGAAGATGGATAAAATCTTTGAAAAAAAACAAATAGGACGTCCTGCAGGTTCGTTTGAAGATAAGCAGAAACAATATATGGAAATGTTAAATAAGAACAAAATTAAGAGTCCGAAGCAAGAAACTATTGAATTTTATAAACTGTTTAAGAACGAAGAGGGTAAATATGAAACAATATAATAAATATCTAAATCATTATAATAATATGAATTTATTAGAGATGTTTAGCGGAACAGGCAGTGCTGGACTTATTGCAAAGTCGCTCGGTTTTAATGTAATATCGTTGGATTTGAAAAATGCTGATATTAATTGTGATATACTTGAATGGGATTATAAACAATTTGACAGAAACCATTTTGATTTTATTTGGGCATCACCACCTTGCATAGAATACAGTATTGCAAAAACAACAGGAATAAGAAACATTGAATATGCTAATAGCATTGTATTAAAAACAATAGAGATTATTGAATATTTCGGATGGCCGTATTTTGTTATTGAAAATCCACAGACTGGATTATTGAAAAGTCAGTCTTTTATGAATGGGTTAAGGTTTAATGACATTGACTATTGCAAATATGGATTTAATTGCAGGAAGCGAACTAGGTTGTGGAACAATCTAACAAACTGGAAAGCGAGACCATTATGTAAAAAAGACTGTGGTAAAGTTGTTAATAACAAACATATTGAAACTGCGCAACGGGCACCAAGTGGAAAGCGGGAAAATTGGGGCGAGAATTATGTAAAGCATAAGCAAGAAGATTTATACAAAATCCCTGCTGAACTGATTAGTGAGATACTGGTTAGTTTATATTAAAAAAAACTACTTAAAGAAATGACCCCTATATATAATAGAGAACTAATGACTACATTAAAATGCAGTTGTAAAATTACAGGAAACAATTTGGATTTTGAAAAAGAAGTTAAAAATGATAGAGGATTAATTGAAAAAAATACATAGAATGAGTTATTACCATAAACATTATATTAATATTTGTGGAGAGTGTGAAAAGAAAGCAAATATATTTAATGATATGGAGAAAAAGAAGATAGACATTGAAAAAGAACAGTTTAAAATAATATGTAAAGAACCTGAAATAGATGAAGGGATGAGTTTTGAAGAAATGGTAGAAGCGGGAATTTTACTTCCAAATGGAGTAAGTTAAATCCATACTTCTTAATATTATTCATAAATATTAAGAATTATTTTATCCTTTATCAATAATGAGTAGATTATCAAAAGATGAGGTTTTACATAAGTTGTTTTATGATGTTGAAACCGGGTTCGGTTCAGTAAATTAGTTATACAAACAAGCAAATAAAGAAGGACTGGGTATAACATTAGATGAAGTTAGGACATTTATGAAAAAGCAACCTATCAAGCAGGAGAAAGGATATAGTAAATACAACAGTTATTCAGCACCTTTCGCAAGATATGAATATCAGTTAGACATAATGGATATGATTTCACTGATGAAGGCAACGGGCACATCAGATTTAAGCAGTCCAAGATATGGATTAATATGTATAGATATATTCAGTAAGAAACTACACATTGAACCGATGAAGGTTAGAGACGGTGAGACTGTTTATAAAGCAATACTTCAATGCTTCAAAGTATTAGGTCATCCGATGAGTATTTATACAGATGATGACGGGGCATTCGCATATAAGAAATTGCAAGAGTATTTAAAAGGTGAAGCAATAAGAAGCATCATAACATTGACACACGCGAATGTTGCTGAAGATCCATTCGCACAGTTAAAAAGATGTTGGGAGACAGAATAAAAGCGACTGATAGAACTTGGACGAGTTTATTGCAAGCAGTCTTAAACAAGTATAATCAACAAATGACACACGGGACGACAAAACTTACACCTGATGAAGCACACAAAGACGAAAACACAGTAACAGCAAAGGCGAACTCGTTGATGAAGGAAAAGTATTTACGGAAGTATCCTAAATTAAATGTCGGTGATAAAGTCAAAATTTATAACAAAGGAAAAGGAAATTACACATCAAGAAAGGAAACCACTTCAAAATGGAGTCAATCAACATACAAAATAACAAATGTAGGTCGTGATATGATGCTTAATAAGTATTATGAAATTGAAGGGAACACCAAGAAATATAACAGACACGAATTACTCTTAATAAATGAATAACATTATTTTAAGATAATGTTATCAATTTGTATTAGTTAAATATTTATAACATACTTTCTCAACAGCATTCTGATATGCTCTTTCTCTATGAATTCTTTTA